GTATAAATATACATACAGAAATTGAGGTTTACATGGGTTAGTGAAAAGAACAGTCGTTCATTCGAGTCGTTTGAGTGGAGTGTCAAGCGTCGACGTCGCGGTGGCTCGTGCGCGATGAATCGTAGTGAACATGACTCAGTATTGCAGAGTAAGAAGTGGCGATGTAATGAATCTGCTGTAGATGTTTCAGTAACGGGGTTTAGAGGTAGTGTGGTTAATGCTTCTGATATAACTTTTGATATTTAAAAACAAAAAAGGAAAAGAAGAAAAAAGAAAATACACTCCATAGAAAGCATTTGAGCGGTGGTGGCGTAGACGTTTAACTCAAAATTGTACTAATTATATTTCTATATATTAAAGTATGATAGCTGCTGGTTCCCTTTATGTGTTTTTTTTTGTATATTAGAGTACGACTGACAGCTGAGTGATCACTGAAGCACACTCATCCTTTTACTCTTATGTCGTCTTGCGTTGTTGTTGTGTGTTATTGTGTGTGTGTGTGTGTGTGTTCCCCGATTTACAGCTAATTTTTCGTCTATTGCACTATGCCCGACAGAGGAGGGATTGACCTTTTTGATCAAGGTGCAACAGATGAGAGCTGCGTGATGGCTCGGAGGCCACAAGTCCAGCGTCCCGGCGTGTCCGCTTCAGTGTTCTTTATTTTGGTCATGTTTGCCTCACAGTTTCATCTGTAGTGGTCATGTCCGTCATGCGGGTCATTTTAAACACCTTTATACATTTGTGGTATAATCTTAGAGCTGTCGTGCAACTCAAGCGAGGTGCTCGATTGTGAAGACATTATGAAATATCAGGATTATACCACAAATCTCTGGCTTATTACTCCTTATTACAGGTTGCAGGCTGCTGCTTTTGTCACCCCTGGCATGCACAAACATGACTTCTCTTGTTTTTTTGTTTTTTTTTCTAACCATCCTCTTCTGCACACAATCCCACGATAATAAATAATGACTGATGTACTTAAAGACTCACTTCAGAAATCCAGAATTAGCTGATGTCGTTCTTTTTGCAGATGACTCTGACATTTACTGTCTTTTTTTTTAAAATATTCGTGTCATGATCCAAATCAAGACGTCTTATATTCGTGACCAAAACCATATGCAGTTAGAATTTGTCGCTTCCATAGTTTCTGGAGACATTTCTACCTGATCCAGTGTTTGACCTTCATCATTGAGAACTGTAGACGCATCTTTTAGTTTGATTCTAGTTAGCGAACAGATATTACAGTGATTGCAAAACGCTGTTTACAAGCGTGTGCTGGTGTAGGAGGACCTCAAGTTTTGGGGTGCACTCTTACGGGAAGCGCAAGTGCCTGTTCTGTGTTGTCGAGTTCACCCGAGAACATCCTGTCAATAAAGTAGCACAAAATCAAGAGGAAAAAAAAAAACATTCAGGCAGAAGCTGACACACTAGTTCACTCCATATCATCTTTATTTCTTCATTCATACACACCTTTTTTTTTCTTTTCTTTTTTTCTATATAGCTGTCTAGGCATATCCTCATTGTGCTAGACCAAACGATTCTCATGCCTTAGAGAGACGCAGTACTAAACCTGACTTGAACACCTACTCTCTCCATTATTATTATTATTTTTTTTTTAAACCCTTTTTGTTACTGGTTTTAGTACATGTTCAACTGTATGTCTGCTAGTGGTGAAGTTGATCTCCTCATATTCAGTACTAAATCATTGGAAGAAATAGTCAGTTGTTTTTTTTTAATGTGCTTAACTGTAATTAAAGATCTTGATTTCCAAACGACCCTTTACAGTGCTGCTCTTCTTTTGTTACTAATTTACACCGGAAATTTTCAGTTCACGCTGCCCAGTCAGTGTAAAGTTTTATGAAGATTCATTTCTGTGCTTACCTGGAGGACCTAAAGATTACTAAATATATGACCTTTAATGAGTGTTAATACTGTACATAAAGTTTGTTCATCCTGGGCTGAATTTTAGCAGTACAATGCAGCAGTACATGTTTGTGCAGCAACACTACAAGCTTCACTACCTGCTGAAAGTTATGTTATTCATCTAAATGTTCAGGCCAAATGTGCCTACAAGGGAAGGAAAGTCTTGATAGTTTTGACCTTGTGGAGACATTCTGGTTAAAAAAAGACAAAAGGTGGTTTTTTGGTTATTGAGGTTAAGGTTAGAGTTACATTTAGTGTTATTTAGCACAGCATTATTTAGCTTCCATGTTACAACAAGGTCCTCACAAGGATAGTAAGTCAAGTGTGTGTGGATGGATGGATGGATGGATGGATGGATGGGTGGAAGTGGAATGGGCAGGGGAGCAGCTGGTGTCTTTAGCTCATGGAGGTGTAGAGGGGAAATTAAGTCTTAATGTTCTGACACAATCAGAATACAAATGAGAATGAGGAAACGTCTGCAGTCTCGCACGTACACGAGATCTGAATTGAAGCGCTGCACGAACAAGGTTTCATTACATTTTTTTTTAGTATTATCATTAAAGCATTAAACATTAATGCTTAATTAATGATAGATGGAGCTTTATGATAACTATTATTACTTTGCTTTTAAATTTAGATGACTAATAATTGAGTAATTTTAATCTTATGTTGTGACTTTGAAAAATCCTATGCGAGTAAATATTGTGTCTGTAAAACAATTAGTATTATGACTATCATAAACCATTTTATCTGTTATCATTAGTGAATGGCTGATTCCTTTAACTAGAAGAGAAACAGCTTGTTACTGATGCACATTATCGTTGTAATTATCATTAGAAGCGTTATGGCGGCACCTAGTGGTCAAGCTTTAACATGCAGTTTTTTTTTTTTTTATGGACCAAATTTAGGTAAAATCTTTTGAAATAATATACTTTTTTGATATGACTGACATGACAGGCTGTGTTAACCTCAAGAGAGAGAGGAACTAACTTGTTTCCTGCACATTCCACAACATTAAATGTAACTATAAAGTGATAAAAGTACATTGTGTCATTCCTTCACAAATAATGATTGTTGCCAAATTGCTGAAGTGTAAGAGGACTTTGACACATACTGTAGGAAAATAATCAGCTTCAGGGTGGTAACGGTTATCACACCACTTCATCGCTGATTACTTTCCTGTAAGAGGTCAATTGTAAACTGTATTTTCTTACAATGTTTCTGTTGTGAATGAAAAGTGATGAATGTGAAAAATGAACTGAAATGAAACAAAACAATTTTCAATTTGCATAATAGATTTAAAAAAAACAATAAAGATAGCCTAGTTAATCTTCTAAATAAAAATCATAATAATGAAGCAAAATGTACAAAAGTATGAGTTTGGGCGGAGTGTACATAGATAGAGTCGTTAAAATAGAAAAGGCCGTAACTTTACACTGTACTGTTGCTGCAGATTAATATTAATGTAACTTACTAATTAATGTAAAAAAAAAAAAAAAAAAAAAAAAAAAAAAAAAAAAAATTAAAAAAAAAAAAAAAAAAAAAAAAAAAAAAAAAAAAA